AAACCCTAAAAACCCTAAACCCTAGGGTTGTACTGAAGTGAAGAACTCGACGAGTCTCTTACGGGCCGCCTGACCTCTGCCATGTTGGATACTTCGGCGTGTTCTTGGGACGTAGATTGTTTCTAAGGTTGAACCCATGGGCCCCTAACATGGGCCCTTAGGGGATTCTAGGGTCTTTTAAGGGTATATATAGGGTATATAGTAGGTATATTAGGGTTCTACCTTAGATTGTTTGTAGAAGTGCGCCCCAAGTAGAGACAGACTGGCCCTAATCCCTAAACCCTACGCCAAGTAGAACAAAGAGGGTAAAGACAGCTGGGCCACCAGCCTCATGCTCCAACCATTCAATCCTCTTAATTATTTTGCGAGGAGCCCTTACATATTTCCACTTCAGCGTAGCCCAAAATCCAAAACCCTCCAAAACCCCAAACCCCATAATGTTGCCCACAACCCCGACCTAACTATCAAGCTTGTAAACCCAGAAACAGCGATCCCAAAACCCCATAATGCCCACAACCCCGACCAAACTATCAAGCTTGTAAACCCAGAAACAGCGATCTCAACAAGGCATCAAAACCCTAAACCCTAAACGCTAAACCCTAAACCCTACCAAGGCATCGACCAAGCCGACGAGGAGTTTAAGGCCTTGGCTTTGGTCAGCATTCCCGCCATCCTGCAGCCGGCTGAAGAACAGGTTTCAGACTTTGGGTTTAGGGTTAATAAGGTTTATAGGGCTTTCAGGGTTTAGGGTTTAGGGTTTCAGACTTTGGGTTTTGGGTTTATAGGGTTTAGGGTTTAGGGTTTCAGACTTTGGGTTTAGGGTTAATAGGGTTTATAGGGCTTATAGGGTTTAGGGTGTCTTGGGTTTCAGACTTTGGGTTTTGGGTTTATAGGGTTTAGGGTTTATAGGGTTTAGGGTGTCTTGGGTTTCAGACTTTGGGTTTAGGGTTTATAGGGTTTGGGGTATCTTGGGTGACAGACTTTGGGTTTAGGGTTTTTTGGGTTTAGGGTATCTTGGGATTTAGGCTATCGGGTGTCAGGTGTCCCTCCCGGCTTTCTCTACTAAAGCCACCAAATAAGGAACCCTAATCGGCGAAATCCCCAACTTCAGTGGGTTTTCTAGGGTGTTTATGGAGCGTCAGATTTTAGAGGCTTGATTAGGTTATTGGAAGCGGCAGTAGAAAACGTAGGTTTTTTTTTTCGGAAGTGTGCGGTTACTTGTTCGGTGCAACTGCAAAGCTTGCATGGATTCGTCCCCACCTTTATCGAAATCGCTAAACCCTAAACCCCTAAACCCTAAACCCCAAAACCCGAAACCCTAAACCCTAAACCCGAAAACCCTGAACCCCAAAACCATAACCCTAAACCCCAAAACCCTAAACCCCAAAACCCTAAACCCTAAACCCCAAAACCCGAAACCCTAAACCCTAAACCCGAAAATGAACAAAACACCAACAGTCCAGAGCAGCTCTGAGGCAGCGATCGGAGGCGATGCTTGTCGTGTGGGATGCAACGTGGGCCAGCCGACGCCAGGCTTTCTTGAGCAGAGAGGGTTTAGGGGTTTAGGGTTTAGGGTTTATTTAGGGTTTAGGGTTTAAGGTTTAGGGTGCCCGTTTAGGAATGACAGGGCTTCAATCGTTTACCCCTAAACCACACAACCCCCAAACCTTTAACACAAGCTTTAGCATCTGAGTTTCAAAGTCCTGTCGTATCGGGCCTTATCTGCGTGTTCTAAGGAAGTGTGTCTAGCAAAGGTCTTCTCAATCTCCTAGGTTCCCCAGTAGCACCCTTATGCATCCTTTTTGCACTTGTGTTCTTGTTTGGTCCTCATGTTAAACCAAAACCCTTAACCCTAAACCCTATAAAGCTGAAATTGAGGCTTGACGTGCATGATCTGAGACATCACATCACCCTGCAATGCGGGCTTGTCCTTGCTAAGTAGGAGGCAAAAAAACCCTATAAACCCTCTCAGCCCTATAAACCCTATAAACACTAAACCCTAAACCCTAAACCCTAAACCCTAAACCCTAATCATAAGAGGGGCTACAGGGGAACCGAGTCTCGCTGGAGGGCCAGGGGGCTTGGGTTCCGGCCTTTTTGCTCCCTCGAAGGGTACTGTGGGCTTCTATAATCGGGTCCCCCTCAAAGGGTAGTCTATAGGGCTCTGTAAGAAGAGGGTCTCTCTCATGGGTTCCTTTAGGGGATCTATAAGGCTATGGGGACCCGTTAAAGGTATCAGGAATCTGGTGATGGTGAATGTCTGTTCTGAGAAACCCACTAGAGTAGTTGTGAGATGCAGTGTTCCACAAGATAAACCCTAAACCCGGGGTCTACTGACTAGTTGATCTCCTTCTCTTGATGGGCCTGACAGGTTATAAGATCCTGATGGATGAACCCCCTGTCTTTATCAAGGGGCTTCAATATCTTAGCATCCTTGTCACAATCCCTTTGAAGTGGGCCAGAGACCGTTGGAATGCCAAGTGTAATCAGTTTGTTTTGCATACCATAACCCCTGGAAGAGGCTTAAACTAGTAGTTTTAGGGTTCTGGGACTGGGGGTTCTTTGATCCCTATTATACTCGCTGGGTTGTGTGCAGCCCTTTTTGTTGCAGCCTTGGTTTGAGGATGGAACCCTAGACCTTGAACCTTAAGGATTGTGGTGCGTTTTTGAGCTTGCGGCCTTTCTGCACAGCCGCGGCCCCAACCAGAAAGTGAAGCTGCTGATACGGCCCATTATATTGGGACCTTGCCTTTTAGCAACTCGGGCTCCTTCAAGCATTCCTTGAATTCGGAGGGTTCTACAAGCGCTAGGCCAGGCCAGGCTTGTCTTTCGATCCTCCAAGTAGTGCCCTTGTGCCAGTTGTTGCGAGGTTTTTTTTTGCTGTTTGACAGAAAAAGTTGGTACTCTCATTGTTGTGGGGCCATGGGGAAGCCCAGGCAGTTGCTGCTGGCCTTTTGGTTGCCACGTTGGCCTTTTCCATACACTTTACCGATGACCACGCCGAAAACTGGCAGAGCACGCTTGGAATTGTCCTGATTGTGGCGTCTTTCTGCTTGGTGATCTCTACTCACCTCCTCCGAGTTTTCTGTCGGAGTATCGACAGTCTCCAAAAGCAGCTGGAGAATTTCCGCGTAGAGAACACTCGCTGCACCTGCTGCGACTGCAACCACATTCAGCGTGGCACAGGACAGCCGATGATGTGTGACAGAAAAGTGCTGTCTGAAGTCATTATTAGCTGGTTCGGCAGCATCGAAAAGTTTGAAGAGGAAGTCCGCGGGCGAGTAAGAACGACGCTCTTACGACAGATTTTCAACGTGCGATTTGTGTACTTTCAGCTCTGTGCCGTCGCCAGTTGCTGGGCTCTTCTTGAGGAACCTAATCTAAGCTATCATAAAAACGTAGCCTTCTTGTTCACTCCAGATCTCCATGACCAACTTCAGCTAATCGTGCTTAACCAGAGCCCTAAACCTCAAACCCTATCCTCAACCCCAAACCCGGCACCCCAGGTTGTGTTCTGTGGTATTACATGGACCGGGCTGTCTGGGACGTCGCCTATGGACACTTCGGCGTCACCGAGGGGCTGTTGGCAGGATTGCGGTCCTTGGTATCTTGGGCTACGGGTTCAGGGGTTTAGGGGTTTACGGCTTATAGGGTGGTAAGGGCAGCAGCCGAGTCCCTTGTGCAAACAAAAGGGCTTCTAGGGTTTAGGGGTTTAGGCGAGGGTTTAGGGTTTAGGCAATCTTACAAACTTAGTCCCAGTTAGGCGACCTTGCTATCCAGATCTTCCAATATCTCTTAATTGCGAATATATACTTATACTTATAGTAGGATCCCTGAAATAGTTTAAGGCATCTTCCGCAATTACGGAATAGCCTCGTTTTACGAGTTCCTGATGCCGATGTCCGTATGTAGTTCCTCTTACCTGGCAATCCAGAAGCCCACGGTAATAGTTATACCTTGTAACTTAGGGATGACATCCAGGTGTTTTGCATGGTTCGGGGCTACAGGTAGAGGGAGCGGCTTAGGGTTTAGGATTGCAGTCCTTGCTATGGTGGCCTTCTTGAAGGACATGTAAAGGCTTCTTAATACATGTTTTTAAGGGCATAGGGTAATAACTGATCTTTAACCTTTTGGGGTAATGACTACGAATATTAAAAAATAGTTCTATTCCATTTCTTTAATAGAGTCAGCAACCTTGAACCCGGGTAACTGCTGCACTTTTAATACTCCCGCTAGAGTCGCCAAGTTTATACTTGAGTTTTTCCCAAGCTATTGGCACACTAAGGTATGGTGGCTGGCTCTTGAACCAACTGTTTTCATTCTTGGCGTCGGGCTATGCTGGCTGTTCCGCCACCGATGTAGCAAGTATCTCGCGCTCGATGTCTACGTCACGGCCAACCTCATGAGTCTTCCCTCGCTCCTTGGATCGGGTTAGATGTTCTTCAAAGCCACGCTCTGGACACTCTACCCGGGACCCAGAAGTTAAAGTCACCACCACTGAACAACAGGAACTAAACCCAAGGCACAAACGCGAACAGTGAGAGGGGGAGGGCAGAATTTGATCCGAAATCTCGGCAACGGCAGTCTGCTGGTCACTCTCACCCTGCATTATTCGGTTATATAGGGTTTCGTGCTTTCCTGAAGCCCTAGGCCATACAGCCTAAAGCCCAACCTCGCTCTCTTTGTTGATCTGTCCGCCTGCTGCATTTCTCTTTCCTCCTCTCCCACGTCAAACAGGGTTTAGGGTTTAGGGTTTAGGCGATCCATGAACCAATGAGGGTTCGGGGTTGAAGAGAGGCTTGGAGGTGTAAGGGCTTAGGAGTTTAGGAACTTAAGTTCAAGGCTGGCTTAAAGGGTTGTGTGTGTACATACATACATACATACATACATACATACATACATACATACATACATACATACATACACACATATACATATA